CCTGTTGGTCTGGGTAAAGATGACTGTACATGAACTGATTCACGTACCGCATCATCGCGGGATAGGGGGTTTCAACCTCACTCACAAGCGTCTGACAGAACTCCGCATCTGACCATGCAGTCTGGCTCGCCTGGCTCTGATGGCCAGTCCCTACAAGTATACGATAAAAAAGTCAGTGAATTAAACCAAATAATGTACTTTAATTACATAAATTGTAATTAAAAATGAAACAGCAAGTAGAAAATTATAAATAAAACATTAACCTTAAATTACCTGGCTCTAACATCTGTCGCGTTCTCCAGAACTGGTGAATCATTCTGAGATAAATTGAAATTTTGGAATCAACTGCAGTACGGAGCAGACAGGCACAAGGAAGTCCATGAGTGAACTACAATACACAGCCGCAGCTAGCGTAAACATCAACGTCCAAGCCGTGCATTCTCGTAAGCTCAGCGTCCAATAAACTCAGACAGTAATGCGAGACCCTCAGTATCACGCTCGCGAAAAGGATTCCCTTATACCGTGTATTTTTCTTATATCTCGACGCCTCAAGCGCCGTCCTGATAATACATTACATAACGTTAGAATATAATTAATGCAGTAATATAATAACGCATTTAAAAATTGCAGTACGTACTTGATTTCAGTCACTTGATTATCGATATGCTTATTAATCTTCTGCCAAACCGTATCGAGTGCGCCGGTGGACGTCTGAAGCCACTCCTTCAACGCAGAGTGGGCACTCTCCACCCTACAGGAAGTTGTGTTTCCAAAATGTGTCACTTGGTTGGTCCAAGCCTTCACAAACTTCTCCTTGTGCCCTAACCATGTGTTCTCCACATACCGTATCACCTATGGAGACTTCGAATATTTTGCGTGCAGCTCGGCAACTGCATCGGTGTAGGCATCGAACGTACTGGCCTCTGCAATCGCCTTCCACGTACTGTGTGTGAAAATCTCCGAGGATATTTTACTCTTCCCAAATATTTTGTAGGCTTTGTCTTCCACATCCTTGTTGATGTGCCACGTGCAGAGTAAGTGGACTGATTCAGGAAAATGCCTCTGAATAGGAGTGATTAAACCCAACTCTCTGTCACTGACAACCACATAAGGATATACGTCTTGGCCTATCAGTAGTCTCAACTTCTCTAGAACCCAGTCGTAACTGGCCTCTTTCTCGTCCCTGATGAGCGCATACGCAATTAGGATGTTTTGGTTGCACGGCGTCACCCCAATCATCTCGACCAATGGCATCTTGTACTAATGAAATCAAGAAAACAAAAAATATAATCAAATAAAAGTTAACTTAATCAAACACACTATTTAAGATTCATACTAATAAAAGTATTTATAAAGTAACATACCTGTTGGTTTTATACGTGGAATCTATGCCGACATACCAGTGATATGTCCGGAATAGATTGATCGACGCAGGATGGGCCATGAATATATGCGTCAAAGCTTTCGTGTTCGGATCGGATTCTGCATAAACTATATACTCGCTGCTCACGGCCAAATGCATAAGCTGGGAAGGAACGTCTCTACGTCGAAACTCTCTTTCCGCAGCTTACCTCTAAAGTTATATACCTGTCACCGATTAGCGTTAATTATAATGATTATTATAATTTAAAACAAAAAAAATATTATATTAATAAATAAAAAAGTATATTAATGCGATTAATTTGATAAAAAAATTATTAACTATCATAATAATAATACATTAGTAAATATAATAAAATTTATTAATTATTACAATAACTTTTACATATAAAAAATTACTAATTATCATAATTAACTTCAAAAAGTTAATTAAAACATATATTACAAGATATAAATATATATACCTGTCGCACATGAACGTTGTCTCCCGAATTCTTTTCCTTCAGCGCGGCCATAATTTTTGTCGGCACCACCTGAGCATCCGTCATATCACGAACAATTTTCTTAGATGAAGCGCTGAGGCCGCTCAACTGGCGATGACCCTCAGGATACACAACAAATGTATGGTTATAGTAGCCCTTCTCTTCATTGCTACATCTACAGATCCTCCAATATGGCTGGCCGGGCACCTTTTTTACTTTGATCTCAAAATCGCAGCCGCACTTATTTGTTTTTGTCTTTCTGGAATTTTCGTTTGTGCCTCTGTAGCGTTCGCCTCTATGGCACTTCAAAAGCCTGACCATTTTCTTTTTGTGGCTCGAAATTACTAATAGGAAACCATTCAGCATTGCCTGGTATTTTGCAGCTTCAATAGCGTCCTAAGCACTATTAAATAATATACAGGTATCGAAACCCAGACTGTAATCAACACCATCTCCTCCAAAATCTTCCCATGACTCCTGCTATATAATACAATATTTATATTTTTAGAACATGTTAAATTAAGATAATTAATTCTAACATGTAACATAATAATTTGTAACTCATAACATGATATTATCTAACGTCCAATTTATAGCATAATGAAGTCTAACATGTAACACAATAATTTGTAACTCCTAACACGATCACGATAATATCTAACGTCCAATTTATAATATAATCAACTATAACATGTAACATAATAATTTGTAACTCCTAACACGATACTATCTAACGTCAATGTATAACATAACCAAGACTAACATGTAATAATAATTTCTAACTCGTAACACGATAATATCTAACGTCCAATTTATAGCATAATCAACATGTAACATAATAATTTGTAACTCCTAACACGATAATATTTAACGTTCAATTTGTAGCATAATCAAGTGTAAAATGTAACATAATAATTTATAACATAATAATATAGTCCAATTTATAACATAATTATTTCGAATATATAACATATTAATTTAAAAAAAAAAATTGTCCAGCCGGCCGAACCGGACGGACCCGTTCCGACCGGCCGTCGCCACCGGACAGCTTTTAAAGCATCCGGCCAGCCGGTTCGGACATAGCCCTTCCGACCGGCTGAACTTTTTAGACGGCTTTTAACTCGTCCGAACCGACCGGCCGGACGGCTTAAAATCCGTTCGGTTCCGGCGGTCGGACGGGCTAAAAGTCGTCCGGTTCCGGCGGTCGGACACAAAAATTTTCGTACCTCCGAATTTGACGACATTTCACCGTACACTTTCCTCTGAGATGTTTAGAAAAAATGAAAAGGGCAAAATCGTCCAAGGGGGGCGGTGACTAGTAAAAGAGGGGCCGTAAATAGAACCACCCTAAAAAAACGGTTTTGCTATGGAGCCAAAGGGCAAAATCGTCCAAGGGGGGCGGTGACTAGTAAAAGAGGGGCCGTAAATAGAACCACCCTAAAAAAACGGTTTTGCTATGGAGCCAACTGTTGGCTCCATAGCAAAACCGTTTTCGTTTGTTAATAGAAGAAGACTATAGATTCGACATATCCTTTGATACTTGTTCTTCCTTTTCCTCGGAAGGGATGACGAATTAAGTTATTCCTTTTCCTCCGAATGGAAGGGAATGCTAATTTATTTATTCATGCATTTGATACTTGTTCTTCCTTTTCCTCGGAAGGGATGACGAATTAAGTTATTCCTTTTCCTCCGAATGGAAGGGAATGCTAATTTATTTATTCATGCATCGAGAAATCATTAATTGATGGAGAGTATCAACCATCCCCCAACCAAACTGATTATTTATTTGTTAGATTAGGTTTTTGTAGGGAGTTGGTTGAGCTATGCTGACGAGGAGACATCTACCCAAGTTTGCTATCCCACCATCAGAAGTGCGCCAGCCTCCGCCTCCTCGACGGCCAGGTAATGAAGAATGGATTACGGAGGTTGAACCCTTCAAATTTCTGCTTCCACCCGTTCACCAGGTTAGGTTATTAGGTCTATTAATTTGCAGTCTTTCGACATAGAATTTTTAGGTTAAAACTAATCCCAAATTTGTTTTTTCCTCTGTTGATGAAACATTGGAAGAATAATATATATGCAGACAACCCGCACTTTCTCCATTTTTCGTTGGAGGCTCAAAAGGAAAGATTCAAATTATCAGGTGTCGTACCCAAAGAGTTTTTGGCCATGAGAGCTAAAATGACTCGAGTTTTTCTATACAATCTTGTCACGCAAGAAATTGATGAAATCGTGTTACCTGCCTATATTGGTACTTACAGATTTTTGGTACATAAGAATAGTTTGTTTATTTTACTTTTTTGTTTTTCTTTTAATGTTGGATTATGATTAAAAGTTGCAACTCTTCTTTTGTTTGTTTTGGATTCAGATTTGAAGCANTATGTTAGTTTATGTAGTTGCTTTCCTTAAATCTAAACTTCGGGGTCTCTGAAAAAAAATCTGAAATGTTAACAAATAGTAACAAATTTATACACATGGCACTTACAATGAATATAACCCAAAGAAGTCCAACATGGGTTTAATGTGCGCCTACAATTCTCGCGCAAAATCACGGCTTCATGTTTAAGAGCATATGTGAGGGTTCACGAGAAGGGAGCAAGTTTCTTATCAATTAAGGCATCAAAATATGAAACAATCAAGTCCTCGGCATAATCTCGCAGGCATAGCCTTTTGTGGCGGGTCACGTGGAAGGGAGCGACTTCTTTTGACAAAAAAAACTGTCGGGATTTTAGCTGAGAGTCGACGGCTAAGGGGATATCCTTATTTTGCGGGTAGTTATACGGTGTTTCCGTAGCTCATAATTGACGTCTTACCAAACGTGAGTTTCTGTTATATATATACTAATGGTCTCTTGGTTGTGCACGCACAGCCGGCCCTAATTTAGTCTATAATTAGGACAAGATATAATGGTATTTTTTGAATATTTGCTAAAATATCACAATTAGTTGATAATCAAGTGAAAAATTAGTGTCAATTAAATATACACTTACGAATAAAAACGATACACAAAAAGAATAAAATTGGATCAAGTGCTAATAAATGACTTCTTTTTTTCAATCTTGGACCGTTGTGCTTTGCTGCATGTGCCGTCGTGGTTCACCTTGCAAACATTTATATGTTGAAAGTTCATCCCTCCGCTTATCGTTGGTCTACAGGGGTGGAATTTCTCGGCAATCTTTGGGACGACGCCGACCAAAGTGTAACAAAATTAACCCTTCCTGCTATAGTTATATTTTACATACATAAGTAATGTAAATAGAGGTGAAAGGCGGAAAAAAAAAATTCAAAGGTTTAGATTTCACTATTACTCTCTAAGATAGATAACAATAAAGATTACCACAAATTATGTACACTTTTAGATAATCTAAGATAAAGTACCAAAAACATATATGAGCACAAAGAAAGAAATTTACCTAATGCTGGGTTGAAAAGGCATAGTGCAGAGAAAACAAAGGCCTCATCGTAGTTTTGGGCTCCAACTACGGAGGAGTTTAAGAAAAATATTTTATTCGAAGTCGCTGTAGGTTGAGGTAGGAATGGCTTAGAGTCGATATATCGTGACATCATGGCGTTGTGTCTTTCCGCCATTTCTGGTCCAACTGTTGTATAATAACCCTGCAAACGAATAGTATTATATTACATTCAATTGTGCTTTCTTTAAGTAGATGATACTCTTATGGCCAGTTCAATCTCCAAATTTATACAATAGCTAAAATTCAAAAACTCAAAACAGTTAGAAAAATGACATACCTCGTGCCAAGAAGGCAAGAAGAATAATGGAAACACATGATTAACACATTGTTTTCTGGCGAATCATTAGAAAGGGAGATTCTAAAGTCATAATGCATATTAAACTGGATAAAAGAAATATGATGCATAACTATAATATTTTATCACTAAAGTAANAGCAAGTAATAAGGATGAAAAAAGCACAATAGCAAATGACAAACTCGACGACCATCACATAGGAAGGTACAACATTTATATTCAACAAAGACTTAATATGAATACCAGGGCTGTGTTACTCAATCAGTGTTACTCAACCAGGGAAAAAAGAAAATGAAAGGCTAAAAGTCTAAGTTAAGTTTCCCAGCATGTATAAGTGTAAAAGAAGACCTGTAGGAAGTACATTTGACAAACAGAATTGCAACATTCAATAGCAACTACTTTCCCGCAGTTAAATCCATGATCCTATCTACCAAATACAAGATCCACATATCAACACCTCTGCCTTCATTTCATAACTTTTGTCAGAATCCATAAACATTTCCTAATCCCCAAAAAATTCCTGAATAAGAAGACTGTCGGCCAACAGATGTCACAACTCTTGCACTATTAAACATATTAATTCACATAAGTGAAAAAAAAAAAAATANTTTGAAATAGCTATTTTTTTTTTTTGGGTCTGACTATCAACAACGCTATTCCTGCCAGAATTTCTATGTACGACCTCCTACGTCTTTCTACTGAAACTAAACATATTATGAAGTAATGGCTTATATCAATCGCCATTAACAACACACACAATCACAGATTTGGTAAACCTTGAGAAAAACGAAAAAGGAATGTAGCAGCTCAACAAAATGTGGAATTGATAAAACCTAGAAAGGAAAACATCCATGTCTTAAATACAAAGTGCTAGAAGGATTCTGACCCTAGGATGAAGATTAATGGCTAAGACATAAAGCAAGAAGAAGACAAGCTATGCATGAAAGAGGTAAAGCCACATGTGCATGAAGAAAAGCATGCATACGTCTAAATGAGGAAAGAAGTAAAGAAAGTGAAATGGAAAATTGACTAAGTCTTCATATATGCTATTATGCCCCCTTCAATTCGAGCGAGGGTTTCGGTTTAACACAAAGTTGATTGCGAAGCCGAGTGAAGAATTGACCAGACAAAAGCTTGGTAAGGATGTCAGCCAATTGATGTAGAGCAGGAATATGATGAACTGATATTGTGTGCAAGTGAACCTGCTCTCTAATAAAATGAAGATCAATGGCAGCATGTTTTGTTTTGGAGTGATGTACTGGATTTGCTGAAAGTAAGACAGAGCCCAAATTATCGACCCAAACCGTTGTGGCTGAAAGCTGTGGGATGTGAAGCTCAGATAAGAGTGCTCTTAACCAAATAATATCACAAGTAGCAGCTGCAAGACTTCTACACTCAGCTTCAGTGCTAGAGCGGGCTATAGTTTGCTGTTTCTTGCTACTCCAAGAAATAAGGTTGCCAACGAGAAAAATACAAAAACCAGAGGTGGATTTTCGATCATCAAGATCAGTAGCCCAATCTGAATCAGCATAGGCAACAAGCTGTAAAGAAGGAGACTTGGTGATGTGAAGTCCAAAAGTAAGTGAGCCACTAAGGTACCTTAACAACCGTTTGAGGGCTTTCCAATGAGAGTCAAGGGGATTTTGCATATATTGACTGCATTTATTCACTGAAAAGGCAATTTCTGGCCTGGTGATAGTGGCATACTGAAGAGCACCAATGAGCTGCCTGTATAGAGTGCCATTTTCAATTGGATGACCGTGGTGTTTAGATAAACCTGGAGAGGAAATCATAGGAGTACTGAGAGCCTTGCAATTGCTCATGCCTGCCTTCTTGAGAATATTCTTGATATAGGTGGATTGACTAAGAAACAACCCAGCAGGGGACCTCTCAACCTCTAACCCTAAGAAATATGTAAGAAGTCCCAAGTCTTTGAGAGCAAAATGGCCATGAAGGACAGAAATGATATGATCAATTTGAACATCATCATTGCCTGTAATAATTAAATCATCAACATAGGCCAGAATAAAAATGCTAGAATGCCCATCAACCTTAATGAACAATGAGCTATCTGACTTAGAGCTTTGGAAACCAATAGAAGAGAGAATGGTGCCAAGTTTAATGAACCAGGATCTTGAAGCCTGTCTAAGGCCATAAAGTGATTTTTTGAGCAAACACACTGAATTGTCACCTTGTTCATAACCTGGAGGCTGCACCATGTATATAGCTGTGTCTAAGTCACCATTTAAGAAAGCATTGTCCACATCAACCTGCCTTATGGACCAAGACTTGGTAACTGCAATAGAGAGAACTAGCCTAATGGTAGCAGGCTTGACCACAGGACTAAAGGTCTCAGTAAAATCCAAACCAGGTACCTGGCTAAAACCCTTGGCCACCAGCCTTGCTTTGAATCTAGCCACTGAGCCATCTGCATTCTTTTTAAGTTTAAACACCCACCTACAGCCAATAGCTTTCTTGTCTGGTGGTAGAGAAGATAAAACCCAAGTTTTATTGTCCAACAAGGCTTGATACTCAGTGTCCATTGCTCCTTTCCAATTGCTGTTTTGAAGAGCTTCATCAAGAGAGGAGGGTTCAACATGATCTTGAAATTGTGTGGAGCAAGAAAACACCTTCTTTTTGGAAATACCAGCTCTGCCTCGAGTAATCATTGGATGAACATGGTCTGCATGAACATTGTCAGGAGCAGCAGGAGGTGTATTGTTGGTATTACCACCACCATCAATTGGTAAATCAATATAAATCTGCCCAATAGGAATCCTAGGAGATGAAGAAGAAGTAGATGAAGTAGAGTGGTGGGGTGAGGTGAGGTGAGGTGAACCAGAATGATGTGAGGGTGAGACAGTGGAAGGGATAGAAAGAGCTGGTGTGTTTTGGTTAGGAGGAGGGATAAGAGGGGGTGGAATGGAGGGTGAAATGATGAGAGGAGCAATAGTGTGGTCTGAATCATGGTTACTGTTCTACACTCTTTTCAGAGTGTAATATTTGGATTTACTGTCATTTGAATAAAGCTGATATCAAATATTTGGCAGGTTGTGTCCCCAGTCAACATGACACTTGGCATGTGAGTTATTCGAATATAATGTTTTAGAAGGTTTATTTTGTCTCAATTATGCATCCTCATGGAAGTGTTTCCTTTTGTTTTCTACAGATATGTTTCTTGTGTAGTCCCAATAAGTGCCTTCTTCGCATCTAGTCTTTGGTATGCTCCTAACTGTGACATTCATTTTCTTGTATTCTTATTTGAATTCTTGCTCATGTTAGATACATTTTTTCAACCGAAAAGAACACCAACATGAACAGGAATAATTATGAGTGCAATGGAGAGGGTTTAGGGATGTTTAATCCCTGCATGACTGCAATTTAATAAGGAATGAAGAAAAAGCAGCCAATATTTTCTTGCTAGCATGCAGATTATCAGCTATTAGATCAGCAGTAGAACATATGGAAACACATTCTCTAGGTATCATGGTTTCATTCTACCAAGAAGATGGAAATGTAGCTAACTCTTGCTTTTCTGAAAGTTGGGTCAATTAGATAGATTTTGTTTTACTTATCACAGATAAATTAAAGACCTACAAACTGCAGTATGTGATTATGATTTTATAGTCAGTTTTCGGAATTTCGAACTTCAAAGAAATTAAAATAAGATTGTCCATTGCAAATGGAGCTGGAAGAGTCATTGTTGACAATTCTCCTGGCATAGTGCTAATAATGGACTAGATCAAAATGGCTCAATTAAATTCTTGTGCTTCTTCTATTAGTGAAGTTTCTAGAGAAAAAAATATATCAAACGGCGCAATGCACCTTGGGTCGCTGCGGAAACAGCCTCCTTGTATAATTACAAGGGTAAGGTCTGCGTACAACTGACCCCCCAGACCCCAACTTGTTGGGAATATACTGGGTATGTTGTTGTTGTAAAGAAATTAAAATAAGATAATTTTGAACGTGTTCAACCATTGATTTGCATATGCTGTTCGTTTTAAATATCAGAGACATTGCAAAAGGCTGAACTGGAAGAAAAATTCAAAGAACACGCCCAGTAGGGGGAATTATCCATAAACTGAATGGTGGTATTGTAAATAAGTTAGTTACTTAGCTGTGTGTTTACCTCATGGAAGTCATTAGGTAAATAATAGAACCGCTTCCTGCAATCTCAAAACCCACGAAAGTCGTAAAAATAAACCTTTTTTAGATGTTTGGGGTCATCAATTTACGTTACTTACATCAAATTTATTTTTACAATTATTCATCTTAAGATTGCTAAATAATTTATCCTGTTGACACTCTTCCTCAAATCTATAGCACCTGCGATAGTAAATATTTGTTGTCGCAGGTTTGGTAACACTGCGTACTTGCATATATCAGTGGCTTTCATTCAGATGCTTAAAGCCCTTAGTATGTAAACTACTTTTCATCATTGGCTTAATGATTTGAGTAATGGCATTTAAATTTTTCCAACAACTTAATTTCCTTTAATGTCGAAATTGGCAGTGCCGGTGGCAACATTTGTTGTGGCTGTTATGTGTGGTACCGATAAACTAAGATGGGATGTCTTCTTGAACATGGTGCTGGTCAGCGTTGGAGTTGTAATTTCCTCATATGGGGAAATACATTTTAATGTGCTTGGCACAGTTTACCAAGTTACTGGCATATTTGCAGAAGCTCTAAGGCTAGTCTTGACGCAAGTACTTTTACAAAAGAAGGGATTAACTTTAAATCCCATTACAAGTTTATACTACATTGCTCCATGCAGGTATAAAGAAATAAAACATTTTGTGTTCGACGTTTATGATTGTCATCATCATCATCATCATCATCAAACATTTGGTGTTCAACGTTTTAGGGTGTGTTTGTAAAAGAATTTACTCAAAACAAATTAATTCATACTCAAAATCTAACTCTACTTTAACTCAACCCCACTATCCTCAATATTATCAATATAATTAAATAATAACAACCAATCATTTTTACACATCATATCAACTTTAATTCTTTATTCATCCACTCACATAATTTTAACTAACCTTCACTTCATGTAATATCTCTCCTACTTTTACATCAAATCAACTTTAATTATTTTATTTTAAATGTTATTTCAATATACTCTCAAAATCCCACTAACAACTAACTATGCTACTGTTTCTAAATTAACCATAGTTAACTAAAAAAACTCACTTTGAGTTAATTTGATTGAATTTATCCTTTTACAAACACACCCTAGGAATCCCAAAAATGATACAGGATATTGTCTTTTACGTGCAGTTTTGCGTTCTTGTTCATCCCTTGGTATTTTCTGGAGAAGCCTGGGATGGAAGTGATGCAAATTCAGTTCAATTTCTGGATTTTCTTCTCGAATGCCATATGCGCACTGCTGTTGAACTTCTCGATTTTCTTGGTGATCGGTAGAACTGGGGCAGTTACTGTTCGAGTAGCAGGTGTTCTCAAGGATTGGATACTAATTGCCCTCTCGACAGTGATTTTCCCAGAATCTACCATTACGGGCCTAAACATTATTGGCTACGCCATTGGTGATGTCCTGTGCTCTTCTACTTTCTGACATGTAAATTGCTTATATAGAAAAAAAAAAAAGAAGAAGAAAAAATCTTATATAGTCAAACTAACTAAAATATTGGAACTTCCTGCAGCACTTTGTGGGGTTGTCTTGTACAATTATTTGAAGGTTAGAGAAGTTGGGGGACAACAAAATCCCGATGGTATTCCTGAAAGGATCTCAAAGGTAGCTAGCAAACTATGTATTGGCTAATTGAATTCAGTAATAGGAATAGAAAGTTCGTCATACTCAGGCATTTTCATGCCAAGGCAATGAATGTAGCCCTGAAAATGGGAAATAAATCTTAAAACCTTAGAGAAAAGCTAAAAACTGGGAAGACATTGAGAACAGAAAGGGAGAAAATAAAATTGAAACCTCTTAAGTTTATTTTCCCTCACAAACTTTTGCGTAGAAAGTCAGAATGTTGTTATGTTAATCGTGCATGCTTATCTGTTTTGAATTTTGAATCCACAGTTTGTATTTCTTGTGTTAATGAAAATGCAAACAGGAGTGGAAGTTAACAAAGAAGTCATCAGATGTATACAGACCTGATAACAACATCAATAACAATGGCGACGAAAATGGAAGCAAAAGTAGCAGTTTGACTTCTGATTTCCCGGTAGATGAAGAGGCAGCACCGCTCCTCATTCCTTCTTCTTCATCCAGGCTGTCACATATTGGTCGGACTCAGCAAAATGCTCGCAATGCATGACAGACTGAAGGATTGAAATTTTGGAATGAAAAAAGAAAAAAAAAATTATTCTGTTGTTAAATAGTACCTTTTTGTATTATCTGATATCAGTAATGTTTACTACTTGTAGAGTCGAGCAGGATAGTACCTCATGTGTATTGAATTCGGTGTGGAGTAATTGGCCAGATTTCTTGACAGACGTGATTAGAGTAAGCCGAACTTTATTTTGTATTCCTTTTAATTCGAGCAGCTACTCTTGGGCAGATTTGGACATGTAAAACTACTCGAGATATGAAGGCAAGCATGTAAAGTTTTTGTTATTACCAAACTTAAAGCAGTGTTTTTTCTGCAGGAAATACGGAAGTCACGCATCAAATCATTAATTCTGTTGATAGATGTTTTGAACCTAACGCATTTTGTGGTCCAGAAAGGAAAAATGATGAAACCATTACAACGGGAGATATTGAGTACAGAAGGATGTGGAGCATATTTGTGCAATTATACGTGCATGCATTTTTTCTCACCAACTCTAAAAGATTAATACAACCGTTTAATAACCATGGTCAACAAGCCTAAAGATTTAGATGGTGCTTTCCATTGGTGGGATAATCATATGTATAGAATTTTCCTTGAGCTATATATATTAGTTTTTGTATAGAAAGTCCGTGAGTTATATATTAGTTTGTATATAGAAAGTTTGATTTGGTTTGAAATTATTTTAATTTTAAATGAGAATCATATTTCGTTAAACGTCTGTTCTGTTTATTCTATATATATGGTAATGCAAATTGTCTACTTGTTTTATACTGTAGATAATATGTAATCTCGGTTATATATCAGTCCATGATAAAATATAAATATGGGCACAATCGAGATGACAATGGGCAAGCTATTTGAATGGTCATAGTATAATATGAAAATAGTTTGACTTTAACTAATGAATTATACCAATGCACTTAATTTGTATGAGTTGAACATAATGCGAAGGAAATTTCTATTTGTACTAACCTAATAAAAGAACTAGACCTTAGTTATTATGTATGTTCGTCCTCTTAATCCAGATATAATAGCGTGTATATTTAATATGTACTTATTTGATTAGTCAGCAAGTGATAGCAGTGGTGGTGTGGTGGGGGTTGGGCTCGGTTTCCTCCGGCTGAGGGTGGGGTCGATTATTTGGGCGCGGGTCGAGTTGCAGTTTCTTGTTTTGGGGCTTGGGTCGAAATTCGGTCCGTATGGGTGATCGGGCATAGATGTTGTTGTCGTGGTTGCTTGGCGTGTTTATCCGGTTGTGAGAAGGGCTTCAGTTTATTTTTTATGTTGTATTTCTGTTTGGTGTGTTTGGTGTTTTTGGTTTTGTTTGTGGGTTGTGTTTTGTTTTCTCTTTTTGAGGAGCGTGTTATTCTCCCGTGAGGAGTTTGTGTTATTCTCCTGTGGGGAGTTTGTGTCTTCTTCTGTGTGGAGCTTTTTATTTTCTTTTTCATCTTGTAGTGTGTGTTGTGGTATCTAAGACCAACTTTATCGGTGACCCAACCCAATGGGTCACCAGGAAAAAGACAAAAAAGAAGCAAAAAATAAAAATAAAAATAAAAAAATAAAATAAAATAAAAAATAAAAAGAGGGGATAATACGCGACCCAGGTCAGATTGTGACCTTGGGTCGCAACCGAGCCGCAAGACACTTTTTGCTTTCTTTTTATTTAATTTTATTTTTTTTATTCAATTATTGCTGTTGAGTTTGGACGCTTTTTGCTTTCTTTTTTTATTTTTTATTTTTTTATTCAATTATTGGTGAGTTAGATAAGGTATGGGACACATGTCCCTTTTTAATTGGAAGCAATACTTTTATTTTGATAAGATAAGATAAGGTAACTTAATAATTGAGTTTATTTATATATTAAAAAAAATAAAAATGTCAAAATTCGTATTTTTTCTATGTCGAAAGCTATGAACTCTATTAAATATATTGATATTCGTGAGACGGATTCCTCTTTGTGTTGGCCATGAGTCGTGGGACACTCTGGTGGGCCGTTATCATGAAAGTTTTGATGGGTTTGATTTGATACCGAGTAATATATATGGAGTCATAAAATTGAGGTATATAAGGAAAGGTGAGGCAAAAGATCTTGAAGGTTGTATAGAGATACAATTGTCAAAAAGTTGACTACCGATAAAATTGTTTCATGGTGGCATCATAAAATTGGGACATGAAATATTTTTATTGGACTTCAAGCCCACTATGAAAATAATGATTTTCATAATTATAATGAGGTTCTAATTAAATTAGTAGGAGACATTTAATATTAAAGACCTAATATTAAATGAATATAAATTCCATAGTCTAATTATTTTCTGCTTCGTTTGTTGTTTTGTAGATCACTCTACTAAAATGGCTAAAAATCCAATTGCAAGTATCCTTGAACAAAACAAATTAACTGAACCCAATAAATGTTATCATTGTGGTAAAACTGGGCATTGGAAGAGGAACTGCAAGAAATATCTTGCAAGCCTGAAAAGTTCAGGTATTTATTTTGTTGAAGTTAACTTATCAGTTAACGAATCTTCTTGGGTATTGGATACCGGCTGTGGCTCACACATTTGCAATAATTTGCAAATTATGGCAAGAAGTAAAAAGCTAGAAAATGATGAAACAATCCTAAGGATGGGCAATGGGGCAAGGGTTGCTGCCAAAGCAATTGGGACTGTTTATCTAGCTTTAAATAATGGTGTAAAAGTTTGTCTTTCAAATTGTTTGTATGTTCCTGATATTATAAGAAACATTATTTCTATTCCAATATTGGATAAGGAAGGTTTTAAGTTTGTCATTGAAAATGGAAGATGTTCTATTTTCAAAGATACAACTTTTATATATTCAGGAAACTTGACAAATGGTTTATATACCATTACACCAGAAAGTCCCATCCTAACCATTCAACAAAATAAAAGGAAATTAGATAATCATAGTTCATTCACAATTTGGCATGCTAGATTAGGTCATATATCTGAAAAGAGGATTCACAAATTGGGACCAAAACTCGACCTTATGGGAGAGGATAGGTTGCCTACATGTGAATCATGTCTTAAAGGTAAAATGACAAAATCACCATTTGTTGGACAAGTGGAGCGAGCTAAAGGTCTGTTGGATTTGATCCATACAGATGTTTGTGGACCACTAAATGTTAGTGCTATGGGGAACTATCACTATTTCATAACCTTTACTGATGATTTTTCACGGTATGGTTATGTATACCTATTAAGGTACAAATCTGAAGTATTTGAAAAGTTCAAAGAATTCAGAAATGAAGTGGAGAAACAAATTGGTCGTAGTATTAAAGTCCTTCGATCGGATCGAGGAGGTGAATACTTGACTAATGAGTTTCTTGATTATTTAAGGGATAATGGGATTATCTCACAGTGGACACCTCCTGGAACTCCACAACTCAATGGGGTTTCAGAAAGGAGAAATCGAACACTGTTAGACATGGTTCGATCAATGATGAGTTCCACTAGTTTACCTCTTTCATTCTGGGGTTATGCCTTAGAAACAGCTGCACATATTTTGAATAGAGTGCCGAGTAAAGCTGTACCCAGCACACCTTATGAGATATGGTGTGGTAAATCACCCTCATACAAATATTTGAAAGTATGGGGTTGTACTGCTTATGTGAAGCAGTTAGTGGGAGGTAAGTTGGATATGAGATCCATCTTATGTAAATTTGTGGGGTATCCAAAAGAATCTATTGGATACTATTTCTATGATCCCTCTGAACAAAAGGTGTTTGTTTCGAGGAATGCTATATTCTTAGAGGAAGAGTTTCTCTCAAAGAATAGTGGAGTCATAGAACTTAATGAAGAACCACAAGAAATTCCACAAAGTACCACAAATAACATACCAGTAGAGACTGGACCATCTGAAACACAACCTCTTCGGAGATCCGAAAGGGTTTCTAGGGCGCCTGAAAGGCTATACCTATTGTCAAAAGACAATGAAGAGGGACTCCTTTTGGATAATGATCCAATAAGCTATGATGAGGCAATGTTGGACATTGACTCAGATAAATGGCAAGAAGCTATGCAATCCGAAATAGATTCCATGTATTCAAACAAAGTATGGACTTTGGTTGATCCACCACAGGGTATTGTACCCATAGGTTGTAAATGGGTTTACAAGCGAAAACGTGGTGTAGATGGAGAAGTAAATACTTTTAAAGCAAGACTGGTTGCTAAAGGTTATACTCAAAAACAAGGTGTTGATTATGAGGAAACTTTTTCACCAGTAGCAATGCTTAAATCTATTCGGATATTGCTAGCCATAGCTGCGTATTATGACTACGAGATATGGCAAATGGATGTGAAAACTGCTTTTCTTAATGGAAATATTAAGGAAGACATTTATATGAAACAACCGCAAGGTTTCATATCCAATGGGAGTGAACAAATGGTTTGTAAACTTCAAAGGTCTATTTATGGACTTAAACAAGCTTCGAGGAGTTGGAATATTCGGTTTGATGAAACGATCAAAACGTTTGATTTTCATAAGAATCCGGATGAACCATGTGTTTATAAGAAGGTTAGTGGGAGTGCAGTTACATTTGTTGTTCTATATGTTGATGACATCCTACTCATTGGGAATGATGTAGGGATGTTGCAGTCAACTAGGACATGGTTGTCAAAACAGTTTTCCATGAAAGACTTGGGAGAAGCATCCTTTATCCTAGGGATAAAAATCTATAGGGATAGATTTAAACGGATGATCGGACTATCCCAGTCGACGTACATAAATAAGGTGCTACAACGGTTTAGCATGGAAGAATCCAAACGAGGATATATTCCAATGAGTCATGGGATTTCTCTTTCTAAGACGATGTCTCCAAAGACACCTGAAGAAAGAGAACGGATGAGTCATATACCTTATGCATCAGCTATTGGTAGCATTATGTATGCAATGTTATGTACAAGACCTGATGTGGCTCATGCACTTAGTGTAACGAGCAGATATCAGTCTAATCCAGGTGAAGAACA